GCCCAACTGAAATTATAGATAGAATATTCTTAGTTTTAGTGTTTGTCAATTTATTTATTTTTATACTTTTTAATGGAGTAGTTTCACATTAGCTGTTTCTGTAACAACACATGTTTACAATCTGCTGCTGCTCAGCATCACCTGCTAAATGACAACAAAAGATGGTAGAAAGCAGCAACGTCCACTTTGGGATTTCTTTGAATACGACTGAGAAAACCAAAGCAAGTGTTTTGTAGAGGAAACTGGTGATAAAACAGGTGGAAAATGTATTAATACTTATAATTAATACTTCTCAAGGGAAAAACTGCATGAATCAAACTCGCAACATGGTTAACTATGACTATCTGACACACCAGTCAGTAGCTTCTGTGAAAAACAAACAAGTAGCACCAGGTTGGAGACAACTATTGTCATCCTAAAATAACTACACAAGTTTTTAGTTGGTAAAATTGAGTTACGCAATTATTTTAGGAAGGTGTTGCTATAATGGAGGCTTTAACTAGTGACCAAATAACTGTTGGTTAGTTAACTCACAGGAACATCACAAGCTGGAGGATGCATTGGCAAATATTTGTTCAAACTATAAAAAAAACTAATAGTAGAACTAATAAAAACTAAACAAAACTAAAACTAAGCATTAAAAATGAAATAATAACTAATAAAATCAGCAAATGCACTTTAAAAACTAATTAAAACTAACTGAATTAAAAGATAAAAAGTCACAACAAAATAAAACTAAACTGTAATGAAAAAAACAAAACTATTATAACCTTGATCTGCACATGGATCCTGCTCCTTCCTGTCTGTTGACAAATAGGAGAGGAGCTGACTCGAGAAGGACCATCTTCATCTTCTGCTTATTCGTAGTCGGGTCGCGGAGTCAACAGGTCCAGGAGAGAAACCCAGACATCCCTCTCCCCAGAAACACTTTCCAGCTCGTCCTGGGGGACCCCGAGGTGTTCCCAGGCCAGAGGGGAGACATAATCCCTCCAGAGAATCCTGGGTCTTCCCCAGGGCCTCCTCCCAGTGGGACGTGCCTGGAATCAGATGCCTGAACCACCTCAGCTGACTCCTGTCAACGTGGAGGAGCAGCGTCTCTACTCCGAGCTCCCCCAGATGACGGAGCTCCATAAGCAGCAGACAGAGAAATGTAAAAGCAACACATGGAAATAAAGACTTGTGGGTAAAAAATATTAAATATAATCATTTAAGAGACACAAATAAATGTAAAAAGTAAAAAGAAAAACAAAAAATATATATTTTTAAAAAACAGTCAAATGTACATTGTGTGTTAAAATATACAATTTATTGGAATTAAGCTGGAAAAATAAATATGAAGGTCAATTAAAATTTAAAACATGAGGTAAAGTTCTTTTTTAATTTAATTGGTGCATTTTAAGTGTATTTATTTATTTACTTGTGCATTTATATGGGATAAATCTTGTGTCAGCAGGAATTAGAATTGCTCAGATTGAATCTGAATGTGCAGAATTTGAAATTGAATGTATTGGTTTGAAAATAAATTTTACTTAATTGAAACTGAATTTAATGGTTTGAAACTGAATTAAAAGTTTTGTATTTGAATTAATTTGCTTTGAAACTGTATTTTGGTTTATTAAAAATTCAGTTTGACTACTTTCACTTTCAGTTCCATAATTCAGATTTTTGTGTCACATCCTGGTCCTTGAGAAAGCCAGGCAGAGTAATCAAACACAGATCCACAGATCTATGTTTCACTTTGGTGAAGTTTCCCTTCTGGATGTAAATGTAACATTTTCAATGAATTATGGAACTGAAAGTGAAAGTAGTCAAACTGAATTTTTAATAAACCAAAATACAGTTTCAAAGCAAATTAAT